ACACTTACACACAGCCAACAAACACATGGCCAAACATACACACTTCACACACATTTCACAATTGCACATTTTCGCCACACGAACACGCCATCTAATCACACACTCTTGACACACGAATTCAATGTACATTCGCATCACCACGCCACCACATTTAGCACGCAACTTCATTGCACGATAACATCGGCACACCTCACGATCACACCCATGGCACACACGGCTACACATAGCATACACGGTCACACATACACTGTCCGAAACACAATCCAGACCAACCCACAATCACCATTCGTGCAGTTATTCAATTAAACCTAATCAGGCCATAACAATTCCAATCAATCACACAATTTAATCCCGATCGAACCACAACATCTCAGCCCTAACCAAGCCTCCTAAACCTCGAAATTTCATCGCCAAATTAGTCCACAACAAACCAATTTCCAGCCTTCAATTCAGCCCCAAAACAGCCCCTAAAATACCTAAACCGAGTCCTAAACGAGCCTAGCAATACTCAAGGTCCTAGGTAGTTTTTGGGGGAGACACTTACCTAATAAAAACAGGGCAAGCTGGCTGGATGGTGGCCGGAACAGAGCAGCAGCAGCAGCAACGGCGCCGGCGACCAAGCAGGCGAGCGGCTGAGCTGCCTTAGGCGGGTGGCTGGTCGGTGGCAAACGGGCGGCTGAGGGTGGCGATGGTCACGTATAGGGCAGGGGAAGGCGGCCTGGGGTGGCTCGGCGGCAGCTTGGCCGATCGGAACAGGGAAAGATGGAAAGAGAAGAGAGAGGCGGACGGTGGCCGGAAAGGGGAAGCAGCGGCGCCGGGCGGCTGGGCTGGGCGGCGACCGGCGGCGGCGAGCTGATGGCCGGCCTTGCTGGGTCACGCACGAAGGAGAGGGGAGAGAGAGAGAGGGCCGATCGGTGCGGGTGAGGGTGAGGAGAGAGAGAACGTGAGAGTGAAAGAGAGAGAGAATTTTGGGAGAGAGAGAGAGAAAACGGGAGAGGAGGGGCTGATAATGGGAGAGAGGGGATGGCCGGAGGTGAGGTGAGAGAGAGAGAAATCTGACCGGTCAAAGATGGGGGGCCAAAAGGGGACACTTGTCGCGATCCTACGCACTGACCATTTTACCCTTAATCCGACGGTCCTCGTTGATCCTATCCAAATAATTGAGGGGCGCAATGGTCTTTAGGTCCAATAATGCAGCTGATAAGTACTCTTAATTATCCCAAATATTTTCCCAAAATTCGGAACTGACAACGGCCCAGGGGCAAAATGGTCATTTTTCCGGTCCCGGGTCGAAATTTCATTTTTCGCCCGTACCAACCCCAAATGGGTGTGGCCAACATAATATGGCGTCGGAATTGCGAAAATAGCTTCTTAAGCCCTCGAAAATCGACTGCAAAATCCTGGGGATTAAAATAATATTATTTTTCACTTCCGAGCCAAAATTCCAATTTTTGACCGAAACCACTCCAAATATGTGTGGCCACCCTAAAATGACATCGGCCTCGAAAAATAATCTCATATGACCTCAGAATCAACGTCGGTGTCCCGAGGGGCAAAATTGTAATTTTTCCGGTCCCGAACCAAAATTCATTTTTTTGCAGAAATGGGTGGCCCCAAGGTTGGCCAAGCCAAAAACGTCATCGGCCGCTCAAAATTATCACTTTCAAAATTCTCGATTCCCGGGCCCGAATTCCAAGAAATGACTAAAATTGAACAATCGCAACTTTAGCTTATCTTTGGCTAACGGGTGGCTCATTGGGATTACGCGCTCTCGACCCATGACCGATACTAAGTCAAATCACGTTTAAGTTTACTCTACCCCGGACGACCTTGATTGTCATATAATTGCGAGGGTCTGTCGCTAGTTCCCTTCGGACACGATCAATCAAATAGACCGGTCTCGGTTGGCTCAAAACATTCCCTCATCAATCCATATGGTCGAAGGTCGGACCCAGGTCGAGTTCTTTGGTCGTGCGAACTCAATCCCGTAATGGCCTTACCCCTAAGGTTAGCATCCCGTGAATGCGCATTTCCGGGTGAGATCTCACTATAAGTGCATTGGCCAAATTCATTTCTTAAATCCCAGGAAAATGATCGAAAATTCAGACTGTTACATCGCCGGCGTGGGCGAGGTGGCAAGGCTGCCTCACCCGCATTGGTGAAGGTTTTCGCCAGATCTGGTGAGGCCGCCTCACCCGCAGCCGGTGAGACGGCCTTCATGGCCTCGCCCACCACCGGCGAGGCTGCGACGGCCTCACCCACCGCCTTCGCGGCCACGGGCATGGCGGCCCTTGCCCAATCTGGGCGAGGCCTTCACAGCCGGCGAGGGTCGCCGTTGACCCTCGCCGGAATTGAAATAATAATTTATAAAAATAAAAAAATTCAAAAATTCAAAAAATATATTAAAATATTGTCCACGTCAACTCCAGCGAAGCCACGTCAGCTTTGGCAAAGCCACGTCAGATTTTCCGGCTGCCAAATGACATTTGGCACTCAAGTCATCACTTTTTCAAATTTTTGGCACTCAAGTGAGCAAAAAAAAAAAGTTATGGCACTCAAGTGAGTGCCGTACAAAAGTTAAGGCACTTCTAGTGTCCTTATCCCTAAGTTTTGATCTATGGGCTTTCTTAGTACTGAACTTTGTTAAAGAGATTAGAGAGGGGCTAACAAAAGATTGACGGTTTTCTTTTAAAGCTCTATAGTGAATTCTGAATTCAAGAGAACTTTATGAACTATCATTTCAGGATGTTTTTATTTCGGGAAAATTTCGTGATAAAAATAAATGGTTTTCGAGAAATCATTTTTCAGGAAAATGTTTTCCTTTTTTCAGGTTAGGGAATTAATTTTCGTAACTTTAAGCATGCATTTTTTCTTCGGCTACAAAATTATTTTCTATTAACTGATTATTTTCGGTAAACCAAACACATGAAAGTCCAGAAAACCAATACGCAAAAAATTCTTTCACTCAAACAAACATACGTTTAGCCATTGTTTGAAATACATGGTTATCGTTCATTAATTTTCAATTATGGATACTTTCGGAAATTTCTGGTGAAAGTTGAGAATGGTATTGAATTTACTTTATAATGTAGAGATGGTGCACTACCAAAACAGTGAGCTTCGACGGTTTCAAACAAGGAGAAATTTCACGGGGAAGTGAGAGAAGGACTTGCCGGTCTTTGCTAATTATGCTTGAATATCTAAAAGACAACTTAGATCAACCTGCGACCTAGAAACCCAACTTAACTGGTTTTCTTACCCACATTTGGCAATTTAATTTTTACTCGAGACATGTTTTCCTGCAATGTTGGTCGCAAAAAATTTCGTCCTATCAGTTCATGATTGGTGGGTTACATGCTTGAATGTCACCCACACGTAACTCTGAAAATGTAACAAAGAATAAAGGAAAGGAACAGGGAAAACCAAAATTAGCCCATCCCCTCTCTCTTTCTTCCTTTCTTTCCTTCCTCTGGCTCACCCGGGTTGCCGTACCATCACCGCAATCCACCCTGCCGTCTCTGCTGGGGTCTCTACTATGGGTCCCGTCCGCCGCAAACGAATCGTTGCCAACGACGGCCGACTTCAAATTAGGGGTGAGCGGTTCCAGGTTCCGGTTCGGTTCCGCTTGGAACCTGGAACCCACCCTCGGGTACAGGTTCTTCATTTTTTGGAACCTGGAACCTACCCGTCAGAACGTGGAACCTGGAACCTACCCTGTCACAGGTTCCAGGGTCGGTTCCAGGTTCCAACAGGTTCTTTTTTTTAATTTCGTTTTTAATTAAACAAAACAAAAATAAACGCAACAATGACTAGTTATTAAAAAACAATATTTCGCTTAGTAGAACGGGGATATTATCTAACAACCTAGATCCATTTATGCAGAATAGAAAACACCAAGAGTTCAGCATCATATAACTTTATTATCAATGGATCAATGCAAATACATTTAGTAGAATGATATTGTCAATAAAAGGCCAATTAGCAACACCAATAGCAAACCTCATTAATCTAGGAAAGAAACTTAAAACAATATAATAGTGGAGGAGGCAAAAACTAGCTAATTAGGACTCAATATTGCAAAGATATATCTTCTATACAAAAAGCAATAGAGGACATATCGCAATGTCGTAAAAGGCTAAAAGCATTTATGCAGCTAAGCCCCCTTTGTGCAAGGCTTACTTTGCTGATGTTCAACTTAAAAATCATTGGAAGGGATAAAACGAAAATAAATCAAAGGAAAACAATCCAAAGGTCCACCACTTAAGACATACATGTTTACCGTGAGAAATCTTCTTACTTTCGAACTGCATAGACTAGGCCAGGGGCAGCCCCAGCACCAGTATGCAGTCAACATTGTAGGAAATGCAAAATAGACGAAGAGGAAACGAAACCTACCTCTTGCAGCATAAATCATTGCCAATTCCTGAAACCGAATATCATAACAGATGCCTATACCAATACGTCCAACGTCTGCATAGAGCCAAAAAGAAAAGAAAAGAAAAGAAAACAACTCAAACAACAAATAGACCAGAAGACTCAGGCAACTAAATGTTCCATACATAGTTACTTAAGGAAAGAAAAGTTACCTTGCGGTGCTTGGCTTTCAGCACTCCAATGGAACCAAAAACACAGCAAGCGTTGTACAATCGATCACCACATCTTTCTGGGATTGAACTGCCCACTATGATAACCTTCAAGGCCTTAGCAGCTTCAGATAACATAGCAGTTGAAGGAGATGAACCTCCATCAATGTCCTCAGCATAAACAGGGAAGCTATCATTTGAATAGGGACTGTTCCATATTTCCTGGCACAGAGTCAACAAAACCATGAGGCAAGCTGCGTGATTTTTCCCTCCTTATATAGAATGGCGCAGGCTGCAAATATGACTGATTTTACTGGAAGCCAAAGCTTGCAGTATAAAAACATAGCAATTACATAAGCATCAATAAGAACTTATCCACAGAAAGTCACCTAAAACTGATGAAACAGACACGTGCCTGCTCAAGATGCTTTTATCCATTCTTTCTTCTAGTGCACGCCTTCACAAAAGGGCATTTGATAAGGTATACAAAGTTCTTGTAAGCCATAAATTTCCCATTTTGCAATCAGGAGGCACATCCAAACTTTCCGCAGCTACACGAAATCATGCAAAAAAAAAAATGTCATTTCCATAGAGTTAGATGATTGGATTATCATGAGATAACAATGAATTATTCTAAATCAGAAGACGATCAACCAGGAAGATACATGCCTTTCCAGCTTTTCAAAGAGCAGCACATTGTGCCTTTGCTTCTGAAGGGGCCTGACATACATAAACTGAATCTGGTATCTAACATTTTTGTTACGAATAAAGAAGAATGAACTTCTCAGACAGAATAGTAACCTCAACTACTGGGATACCCATAAGTCTCAATAGTTTTTTGCAGTCTTCATTGTGCTGTTGTATCACCTGCAATGGTATCAAAGCCATGTACCACATGCGCACACATATCTGGTTAGCTACATAGATAGGTTTTTCTGGAAAACAGAGACAACATCAAACTTCTCATCGAATAGAACAAAAATATCGCACAGTAAGGAAGTGATCAAAACAAAGACAAACCTTCACATTTAAGGTAACTAAACATATTCATAGACAATTAAAAAAAACCGAGAGAAGAGAAGGCTACATAATAATAAAGTACCATTGTGCGAGCTCTTGCTTCTTCAAATCAGGAGGTTTACCATCAAATACGTAGCTATCATAACAACATAAAGCATAATTCAGAGAAGCACAAACTTCATTCTTCTTAGCATTCTATCCCAATGAAAACATAGGAGGTAAAGAAAAAAGCTTACACTGGCTGTATCCCTGCTTCCAACAGCCTAATCGTTCGGTAATGCATGCCTTGCAGATGACTACATGAGACGACAAATCAAAAAGCAGCTCAAAGTCAACACTTCCCAAGAACAAAGATCACATGGCAAGTACAAAATAATGTGACACACGTCGATCTCATATACATAAACCCCAGTCCAAGCAATAACAACTGAAGCATCAAAACAGAAACTCGAGCAAAGTGGATTATCATTTCCATGGAGTATTCCGATGCCATTAGTGGTACCTGGTGACTTGACCAGCCTCATTGGTGAGCATCTGAGTCCCCTTCCTCCCAACCACAACCTGATCCACCAATCAAAGACCAAAAAAAACCCCCAACACTCAAAATCCAAATCCCCGCCGACACCAAAACACACAATCAATCAGGAATATCAACTCATAAAAAGCAAAGCACTTAACGAGGAACTGATAGATGCTCATGCTGGCATCGACGGCGATCCTCTGGCCAAAGTAGGTCTCCAGCTTCTGCTCCCTCATCGCCTTAGGGGCATTGTCCGCCAGTAGCTTCGTCAGCCCCTATCGAAATCAACGGACGACTCAATCAACAATGAAGAAGAGGGAAGTGGAACTACCTTGATGCCCATTTTCGGAAAGAAAAAAAAATTTCCCGAATCGCATCGCAAGCATGGGCAATGTTCCTCTCTTTATCCGCCGTCACCGAAAGTTGGCATAGCCCGATCTAAAACTGAAACCACACCACCCAAAGAAAAGACGTCAAATTTCGAGGTCGCATCGATGATCGAAGCCGAGGGGTTCGAGCCCATGCCTTGGCGAGGGGAGGAGTGGTCAGAGGGAGCGCGGGCGTCAACTGACGCTTACTCTTGTCCTTGCTCGCTCCCTTCTTGCGCCTCCAGCCACAGGCCGCTCGATTGGTCACCAAAAGAACCCAGCCTCGGAAATCCGCCGTGGATGAGCTGGACCGTGGTTGATGAAGACAGAGGAAGAGCTGAGGCGGACGCCGAATGGAGCGAGGAGAGGTGAGAGGGTCTCGTCGAGTCGTGGGTGTGGGGAGTGGGAGAGAGGGCGCAACGGAGGAGCAACCGAGAGAGAAATTTGTGAAGAAAAGTTAGGGTTTTTATTTTTTACTAGGAAGAGCGTCGGTTCCGGTTCCCGGTTCCCAGTTCCGGAACCGAGAACCGGGAACCGGAACCGGAACCGGAACCGGCGGTTCCTAAAAAATTGGAATCGAGAATCGGAACCGCTCACCCTAGAACCGGGAACCGACCCTTACCCGCCGGTTCGGTTTTTCGATTCCCGGTTCTACCCTGGAACCGTGCTCACCCCTACTTCAGATCAGCCGGTCTGTGGTTGGAGTGAAGAGGGGCAGGGAGAGAGAGGTGGGCTCAAAAGAGCAGCTATATCGAATAATGAAACCAAAGGAAATATTAATGAACTCATGGAGCATGATCATTAAGGTGGACATATAACGTATAGCAATCGGACAACGAAACCGAAGATTACTAAATATTTACCATAATCTATCATCCGTCTTTGCTAATTTTGTTTAAAAATCATTATTTTCACCTCTTTTTTCTTTACTTTTATGTTTGATCGCTAACTCAAAAGGTCTTCTAAACATAATTTGAGTCCATATTGCACTAATGTGCCCTTATAAAAGTGATACATCGACATATTTAACTTTACTTCATAAAATGAGAACATCGTTATCTTCTGTTATTTAAAATTTTTTAAATACATTTAGCTTGATGTGGGTATTCTCAAAAGCTTATCGGAATTTTTCCTAAAAAAAGAATAATTAACTGAATATGGAATTCATTTCATCATTGAAAAAATAAGGAAAATGAAGAGGAAAATTTTAGATGGAAAGTTAATTAATGGAATTAGTAAAAACAAACAGGAAAAGGGGAGTTTTCACGAGAGGTCCTGGGTTCAAACTCGCTCATCGGTGATTTAAGTGGGGGGTCGTGGCGGTGGGATGCTGCGCTAGCCCCCCTTGAGGACTAGTCGGGCATCACCGCTGGTTTGAGCCCTAGCTCGCCGGCCGCGCGGATACCTCGGTTATCCAAAAAAAAAAAAAACAAGAAAAGGGGAGAATTACCAAAAAAGTTCTAAATCTTTTACATTTGTGTCAATTCAGTCAATTTGCCCAATTTTGATCGGAAATCAATGAAATAGACATCGCTGTCCCATGTGGTGTGGCCAACGCTAACATTGACATTTTTAATTAATATTTTTCTTAATTTTTTGAATTTTGAACATATTTTTTTTATTTTTTTCTATTCTTTCTCTTTCTTTTTTTTCTTCCCTTCTTTCTTTAGCCCATTGCAAAGGTCCGTCAAGGTTGACTTCGTCGGCCACTAGCGAGGTCAAGCCTCCCCTACCCCTGGCGATACTCGACCTCGCCGTTGCTAGGTAGGGTTTAGGTTTGCCATCACCGAGTTGGCGAGGTCGAGCCTCCTCTAGCCATGGCGAGGTCGAGCCTCCTCCGGCCATGGCGAGGCTCGAGCCCTCATGAGCCACGTAGGCTGGTGTCCATGTTAGCGATTCCTAGTTAAAATTGGCCGGATAGACTAAATTAACATAAATACAAAATGTCTAAGACTCAATTGGCCAAAAAAAAAAAGGCTTATTACCAAATTGATACAAATTGCAATAGTTTTAGGACTTTTTTGATAATTTTCCTAGAGAAAACGTTTACTGTGAGACATGAGCACATTTGAAAGTGTGAAATCATGTATGAAAATTATTGATGACTCTTGTGTATTCATGTCACGCAAAAGGAAAGAGAAAAGAAATTCAGAAGATCGTTGGTATATGGCAATTGACTCTTAGTCAACTCTTATCCTACTTTTGGCAGAAGTTAAATCTTACATAGTGTAGATTGAGGATATTCCAAACTTTTACATAATCCAATAATAGTGAGCGTTTATAGAATGATTTACAGATAGGTAAGATGTAAGTAGCTAAAAGTAATGGCCCATAAAAGTAAAAGAGCACAACAATGCAAAGCCAAATGGCCGACAGAAGATGTCATTGAAGCGGAAAATGCTGCCAAAGTTCCTCAGCTGAAGGACGTGACAGCAATTAAAAAGCACTTTCACGTGGATGAAGACTTGAAGTCGAAGTCGAAGTCAATTTGTGTTGGAATGGATCTTCTCTGTTTATACATAGACATGTGGATGGAGCCGAATTTCCAGCTGCAGTGACGTAGCATTCTCTTTTTACTGAATGACGACTTCATTTCCAAATTTTATGACATCAGAAATTTTATGGAAATTCCTTTTATTTACATGAGTGTAAATTTGGAAAATTTACTAAGAAAAGATACAAGTGTAATTTCACATAATCATTTTTTACTCTTCTTCCATCATCCCCTGCTTTGCAAACAACATACTTCAATGGATTTTTATTCAGTGCACTGGCAGGATAAAAATTTCCTTATATAAGTAGGTTTTATAGAATGTATTTTTAGCAAGTAGGTTTATTCCATGAACGGATTTTTTCATTTTGAGACTGCTTGTGTAAAAGACTTTTACACTGACAGTGCATGTAACATGAATCTCATTTCGACGGACTTTTATTCTGTAAAAGACGGAATTAAGTTTTTTTTTTGCACAAGCAGTTTTAGATAATGATACATAATCAATTTATATTTTTTTCACATAACTATATTCAGTAAATCGATTTACTTTTGATTTGAAGTCATATATAACCATTGAATTGGCCATGGATTGTTCTCGATTGGACTTTAATCACTATTTGAAACCAATGAGTTTCTGCCAACCACAATCTTGCAAAAATTCACGTGGCATGTCTTTTGGCAACCACAAAGGGAGAATACAATGTCTTGCCGCATTACTAGAATGTGTTTAGTCTTTGTTATCCTTTCGGAAAATTTACTAAACAAAGATACAAACTTAATTTCACATAATTATCCTTGGTGAGGCTCAACCTCGCCATCTCTGGGCGAGGATCACTCGCCGGCCAATGGCAAGGTCAACCTCACCAGCCCGGCGGGGGCAAGCTTTTCCCCCTCGCCATTGGCCGGCGGGGGCAAGGTTTGCCAGAGGCCGGCAATCGGCTAGAGGAAGAAGGGAAGAAAATAATAGAAAGAGAATGACAAGAAAAAATTCGAAATAAATATTAAAATATTATTAAAAATCGTTTACTTTAGCGCCAATTATATCACATAGGACGGATGGTATCCATACCAGCGATTTCCGACCAAAATTGGCTAAATGTACTGAATTGGCACAAATGCAAAAGGTTTGAGACTCAATTGGCAAAAAAAGAATATTTAGAACTGAATTAACACAATTACAATGGGTTTAAGACTTTTTTGATAATTCTCCCCATGACTTTCTATTGATTCTCGATCAACCATTATCTTGTGTCCATCCCAATTCCCACAACTTGACATTATTTCCACCGAATTTGATGCAAAATGGTACGCTCTTAGTGATGAAATACAAAAAATGTGAATACACAATATTGATATTATTGTTTAGGTCGGGTTGATTCCTAATTTTCTATGCAATGTATGATTCGGCGGAATAGTCAAAATTTAGGCGTCAACACACGTCACACTTTTAACGATAAAATTGGAGGAAAAATTAACGGGCCCAGATTTGTATTGAGAGTAAAAGTTGGTGATTTTTTATGAGACAAAAAAAAGTTTAGGTCAACCTAAATTTTGTACTTTCTAAGGGAATTAGGCTGATAATGTTAATCCATATAAGTGAAGTATTTTGGTGGTTAAGTAGATGCAATCTGTTTCACCAGTTGTTTTTACTTTTCATTTTTCACCAAAGCACGGTAAATGTCAATGGGATTTATTTCATGTCAAGGAAGATGATTTGAAACGGTGATTAGGCATTTCTCGTCATATTTTGTCATGGATGTTCGTGCACATTTCGTACACGACTTTGATCGTGCAATTGAGCAATCACTTCTTTATTTTCAAAAATGCTGTAGAATGGCATATGCTTTTGTGGAACTTATCTCGTTTTCCTTCTTGTTTTATGCTTCTGGCATTTGCTAGAGTCGGGAGATGCACTTGACATGCTAGCAAGTACCTATTCAAGTGATGTGCAAAATGTAGCTCAAAACATTTTCTTGATTATATGCATTTTTATGAATATTTTTCTAACATTTACTTTTGATTAGTTGGCAACATTATGTTCTATCTCAATGTTTCACTTTTACGATCCTAATTTTCATGCCCTCTCTCTCTCTCTCTCTCAATACAATTCTCCATACTTTCATATAGGGAGGGAGGGAGGGAGGGAAGCTTTCAGAATCTTCCCTCATTTCTTCACTTTCACCAACCAAATTTTCATTCATCTCTCTCTCTAGTCTCTGATACAATTCTCATGTCATTTTGTAGAAAGAGAAAGGGCTTAAGCTTTCAAAATGTTCTCTCACAAATTTTTTTATTGGAAATTTTCGCTCATATTTTAATAAGCCTTATTAACATTTCTGTGCCTTTCGGCTTTTGAAACGCATGGGAGGAAGCGAAATGAGTGATGCCCACCCATTGCACCAACCCAAGACGAGAAATAAGTAAAGCAGGGCCCTTTACAACCTATGTCCTAGCCATGGAACTTGGAACTTTGCCTCTCTTTAAAGTTCAAATTCTCACCTCTTGCTTTATATCCATTCATCAGTAGCCATTCTATTTGAAC